GAACGGAGAATTAGATGGAGATCTCAACCATAGAATACAAGCTGGATGGATGAAGTGGAAGAGTGCATCCGGCGTGTTGTGTGACCGCCGTATGCCACTGAAGCTCAAGGGAAAATTTTATAGGACGGCAATAAAGCCGGCGATGCTGTATGGCACAGAATGTTGGGCGGTGAAGCATCAACACGTACACAAAATGGGTGTAGCGGAGATGAGGATGCTTCGTTGGATGTGTGGGCACACGAGAAAGGATAAGATTAGGAATGAGGATATCCGGGGTAAAGTAGGAGTAGCCGAAATTGAAGGAAAGATGAGAGAAAATCGGTTACGGTGGTTTGGACATGTGCAAAGAAGGCCCACTGACGCTCCGATTAGAAGATGCGACTATGGGACAGAGGTTCAGGGCCGAAGGGGCAGAGGAAGACCTAGGAAAACTTTGGAAGAGACCCTAAGAAAAAGACTTAGAGTACTTGGATCTAACGGAGGACATGACACAGGACAGAACACAATGGCGTTCTAAGATTCATATAGCAGATCCCACTCAGTGACTTGGATTTTCCAAGTCTCCAACCGAGAAGTTTTCCTCACTCGGGAAATTAAGGGAACACTACCTCAACCTATATGCTCCACTCACAAAGCTTCAACATACAAGCTTCAACAAAAGAAAATTCAAAGAACTTAGCGAAGAAGGCTTTGGTGTATTTAACACAATACGTTGAAATGAAGGAAAGCTTATTTATTGATATCCCCGATAAGTTACAAATATGTACATATACTTGAGTCAAAATAAAACAAACAAGAGGGAGCCTTCACAAAGGTTGCTTAGGGGAAGTCTCAGCAGTCGGTAGAGCCCCAGAAAGAGAAGGCACCGGAGGGGGATCATTCGGAGCCTCAGTACTGGACAAAACCCTAGAAGGAGGAGGCATCAGAGGTTGATCATTTGGAGCTTCATTACGCGATACAGCCCCAGAAGACGAAGGCAATAAATGCCTTTGGAACAAACCCACAAATCTCTAATGATCAAGTAAAACCTGACCATCAGATTCCTTCATCTGGTCAAGCTTCCTCTTCATGTTTGTAGCATAGTCATCATGTGCGAGCCGGTGCAACTGTTTATTCTCATGCTTGAGCCCTCTAATCTCCTGTTTGAGACTCATCACTTCAGCCGCCAATGATTTAACTTGGCGGGTTCGAGCAAATAGGCGTTGGGCCATATTAGACACAGAACCTGCACACTGAACACTGAGAGCCAGAGAATCCTTAACAGCCAACTCATCAGACCGTTTGGAAAGTAGTCTGTTATCTTTGGGAGTGAGAAGGTTCCTGGCCACTACCGCAGCGGTCATATCATTCTTCATCACGGAATCCCCAACGGTAAGAGGACCAGTAGGGGAGACGAAGGATGGGCGCCATATGTTGTCTGGAGAAGGCGGGGCTGCCTCTTCAACAAGGTTCAAGTCAAAACGACGGTCGGAGGGGCCAGACATTTTCAAAGGTGTTGAAAGAGAGAAGAGGTCGGACAAATCAAGATCTTAGAAGTGCAAGAATGGAGCTTCTATTGGTGGATATTCAAGTGTGCTTTGGAACTTAATGTCAGCCCCTATAAAAATCTGCACTCGACGAAGCTTCAGAAATCGAAGAGGCGCCTGCTCAGAAATCGAAGAGGCGTTTGCTTTCTCAAAAGCTGGGCTGCTCAGAGACCACGAGGGTCGATCTCAGAAATCGAAGAGGTGTTTGCTTTCTTAAAAGCTGGGCTGCTCAAAGACCACGAAGGCTGATCTCAGAAATCGAAGAGGCTCGCTTTCTCAAAAGCTGGGCTGCTCAGAGACCACGAGGGCCGATCTCAGAAATCGAAGAGGCACCTACTTTTCCAGCCTTGTCAGCACCTGTCACACGCACACTCAGCTTTGCGGAAATTATGGACATTCTGTCGAAGATTTCTGGCGAAGTAGAAAGCACATGAATCGTACTGTTCAATCACCCACTTCCCACACGCAACAGTAGCTCATGGGTACCACAGATAACTTTGCCAAAGTTCTCTGACAAAGTTGAGACACGTGAAGCTTGCAGCTCCCACTACATCGCTCTGACCAAGAAGGGTAAAAGAATTGCAAAGAAACAACACTAACAAAGTTTAGACACATAAATTTTGAAGGTCTAGCTACCATATTATTACCCACAAGGGTAAAGGAACAGTACCACTGCTGGATAATTGGAAAGTCCCGGTGTGTCAACCTCTGTGCTTCGTGGCAAGGTAGACTAGCAAACATGCCCAACCTTTACTCACATTCGAGAAAACACTCCCAACAAGATTGCTTGCTCCAAAATCGAAGAGGCACCGCCCTCCGAATCTCGAGAGCCAGACTCCCAACATAATTACTTTCTCAAAAATCGAAGAGAAGGTAAAGGAACAGTACCACTGCTGGATAATTGGAAAGTCCCTGTGTGTCAACCTCTGTGCTTCGTGGCAAGGTAGACTAGCAAACATGCCCAACCTTTACTCACATTCGAGAAAACACTCCCAACAAGATTGCTTGCTCCAAAATCGAAGAGGCACCGCCCTCTGAATCTCGAGAGCCAGACTCCCAACATGATTACTTTCTCAAAAATCGAAGAGAGGGTAAAGGAACAGTACCACTGCTGGATAATTGGAAAGTCCCTGTGTGTCAACCTCTGTGCCTCGTGGCAAGGTAGACTAGCAAACATGCCCAACCTTTACTCACATTCGAGAAAACACTCCCAACAAGATTGCTTGCTCCAAAATCGAAGAGGCACCGCCCTCCGAATCTCGAGAGCCAGACTCCCAACATGATTACTTTCTCAAAAATCGAAGAGACACCGCTCTCCGAATCTCGAGAGCCAGACCCCCAGCAAGATTGCTTTCTCAAAAATCGAAGAGGCATCGTTCTCCGAATCTCGAGAGCCAGATCCCCGACAGGATTGCTTGTTTGAAAACCGAAGAGGCACCACTTTCCCAACTTCAAGAGCTGGATCTCCTTGGATAAAGCTTGTCTGTAATCTTCACACACAACATCAGCTTTCCAGATACCACAGACCACTTTTTCAAAGTGCTCTGACAGAGTTAAAACATGTGATAAGCTGGCAGCTCCCACTACCGTGCTATAACCAAGCAGGGTAAAGGAATAGCATTATTACTTGATGTTAGGGAGACTCCTATATATGTCGACCTCCATCCCTAACGGATAGGCAGACCTGCAAAAATGCTCAACCCTTTCTCTTATCTGAGAGGGCACTCCCAACGAAGCCTTTCGAAATATTCAGCTTTCTTTCCCCCCGATAATACCTCTATAAACAAGCTATACTAGAGCAAGAATATCTCATATCATCAGGGTTAAAAGCAAGAGTATCCCATATCATGCTTTTTCCCTGTCTTTTCCTTTGGCCTTGTTCTTACCTGCAAGACAAGGAGAAAGAGAGAGCAATCAGTCAGCACTTGGAATCAAGCTTCCAGCCAGGAACTGACTGCCGGGAACCCCTTACCTGATTACTTACCTGGCATTGCTCTCGAGTACTCATCTTCAACATCTTATGCTTCCAGGGAAGATACCGCATCTGCCTGAGGAACAGATAGGGCAAGTGAGAAGGATACAAGGAAGCATGTGGAGACAAGCGTAACAGCACACGTGCCGATACATCCACTACTCTGTCAAAAGCAAAAGTATCCCATATCAGCAGGGTCGAACGTACTCTAGATTTGATGGACTTGTTTTGACCTTCAAATTCTTCAGTCGGCCTTATACTCTGGAGGAAACCAGAAAACCCTCCAGCCCAGTTCAAGAATAAGCCTGTGGAAAGTTACTTCTTCAAAAGCAAAAGTATCCCATATCATCTCTCCTCATTTTTCTTCTCTTTATCCTTCATGCTGCCTGCAAGATAGGGAGAATGTGAACAATCAGTCGGAGCTCTGATTGCTTACCTTGTCTGTCACCTCTTTCAGCAGATCCCCTAGCTCGGCGACTTGGGGGACTCCTACTACATGGTTTGTATCGCGCTTGACCAAGCATGAAACTACAAGTAAGCTTCAAGTGAAATTGATACATTACCTTGTGCATCTCCACCAGTTACAGATACCACCCCTGGATGGAGGAAGAGTACTTCCAGAGAAGATGCCACATCTACCTATGAGACAGATAAGGCAAGTCAAGACGATACCACACTCCGGTACTTAGAAGTTTCGTGGCTACGAGATCATTCTCCCACAATATTTCCTAATGTCATTTGTACTAAATCATTCACTTGTACTCACTAAAGGAGAGTTTGAACCTATGTACTTGTGTAAACCTTTCACAATTAATGAGAACTCCTCTATTCCGTGGATGTAGCCAATCTGGGTGAACCACGTACATCTTGTGTTTGCTTTCCTATCTCTATCCATTTATATACTTATCCACACTAATGACCGGAGCAATCTAGCGAAGATCACAAAAAGTGACCGTTTTCGCTACCTAGGATCTATCTTGCAAGAGAACAGAGAATTAGATGGAGATCTCAACCATAGAATACAAGCTGGATGGATGAAGTGTAAGAGTGTATCCGGCGTGTTGTGTGACCGTCGTAGGCCACTGAAGCTCAAGGGAAAATTTTATAGGACGGCAATAAGGCCAGCGATGTTGTATGGCACAGAATGTTGGGCGGTGAACCATCAACGTACACAAAATGGGTGTAGCGGAGATGAGGATGCTTCGTGGGATGTATGGGCACACGAGAAAGGATAAGATTGGGAATGAGGATATCTGAGGTAAAGTAGGAGTAGCTAAAATTGAAGGAAATATGAGAGAGAAAATCGGTTCCGGTGGTTTGGACATGTGCAAAGAAGGCCTACTGACGCTCCGGTTCGAAAATGTGACTACGGGACAGAGGTTCAGGGCCGAAGGGGTAGAGGAAGTCCTAGGAAAACTTTGGAAGAGACCCTAAGAAAAGACTTGAGTACTTGGATCTAACGGAGGACATGACACAAAACCGAGCGCAATGGCGTTCTAGGATTCATATAAAAGCCGACCCCACTTAGTGGGAAAAGGCTTTGTTGTTGTTGTTGTTGTTGTTGAAAATTTGAACTTGTGCAGGTTCTGTAATGAAATTCATGTGGGGCCTGTTGGGCATCCATTCAAATCATGTAAAGGTGCAAATGCTAACATTCGTAAGGGTGTTCATGAGTGGATACCAAATGTGACCGTTGATGACATATTCTTGCCAGTTGAAGCTTTCCACCTCTATGATCGACTTGGAAGACGTATTCCTCATGAGGAGAGATTCTCAACTCCTAGAGTTCCAGCAATAGTTGAGCTCTGCATCCCGGCTGGGGTTGATGTCCCGGAATATCCCACTACAAGGAGAAGAAAGCCAATCATCCGAATTTTGAAGGGTGACTTTGTTGATGCAGATGAAAGTGAGCTACCAGATCCTGACAGTGAAGCACCCAAGAGACCAGTTTTGACTGAAATATCAGATTCGGAGGTAGTAGCCCCCACTGATGAAGAAGAAACAACCTTGCTTACTGAGGAAACACTACGAGCATGGGAGCAAATGAGGAGAGGAGCCAAGAGGTTGATGAAGATGTATCTGGTGAGGGTTTGCGGGTATTGCCCTGAGGTGCATGTTGGTCCTAGTGGGCACAAGGCTCAGAACTGTGGGGCCTTTAAACACCAACAACGAAATGGGCAGCATGGCTGGCAGACGGCCGTGCTCAATGACTTGATACCACCAAGATATGTGTGGCATGTCCCAGATGTGAATGGATCACCATTGCAGTGGGAGCTCAGGAACTTCTATGGGCAAGCCCCTGCGGTTGTCGAAATGTGCATTCAGGCGGGAGCTGCTGTTCCAGAGGAATACAGACCAACCATGAGGTTGGATGTCGGGATTCCCTCCACTATTAAAGAAGCTGAAATGGTAGTTTGATGAGATGAGTAGTTTGTAAGTAGAATATCGAAAGAAGGAAAACTTCTTGCAGATGATTTGTTTGTTGTACCAACTTACTTTGCTTTTTCATCCCAAACGAACGAAAATTTACAGTCGCTCACCCTTCTACTTTTACCCAAGGAAATCTGACAAAATGTAATAATTCACCATCTTAACATGTGGTTTGAACAAAAGGCTTCCATTTAAGCTTCAAAGCTCTTATATACATTAGTTGATACCGATTTTGATCTCTTTGTATGGGCTCGAATAAGTTCTCTTTTCCGGTAGTAGATCTGTACTCCATGTAAAGATAGAGGATATTTAAAACCCTCCTTTGTCAAATCTTGCAGTTTTTCAGCAGTGCAGCATTGTTTCTGGTTGATTGTTTCTTTGTATTTACAGTTTTTTGCTACTTGTGTGTGCTTGCTCGGTGTCTTGGTTCTCTCGGTTTGCTGCATACAGCGGCCTTGAAGTTCTTTTCTCTATACTCGTCGGGGTTTTTTATTTGCCTCCCAGCTTCCTTTGGGGTCAGTTTTCTGGGATTCTCATATGGCTGCTGTGTTCCTCAATCATCTATGCTACTATGCAGGTTCTTTATAATTTGGTTTAATTATTCATTGTTCTGTCTTTTGGGATCTTAGTTTAGTGTTTTGTTGTGCTTTGATCCCTCGAGTCTTGACTCTTGATGACTCATAGGTCCCCTTACCGGAAATCCGACAGCCCACAGGAGAGGGGTGCAAGTGCAAACACCCCCTTTCTTGGCTATCCTACTTTCAGGGAAGAAGGTTGAAAGGTGAGGGAAATGTTTCATTTTAATCTGATGGAAGGGTCAATTAGTTGACCCTTAAAAAGTGATTAAGGGGTAATTAAAACCACACAAATAGAACACTCCTATTACCGCTGCTTGAAAAACGGTTAAACACCCTCTCTTGTTACACATGTATGCATTCTATTTCTTTCAGGTTCCCACTTTCTTCTGCTTACAAGCATTGCGTTCAGACAGATATAGTTGAAGATAAACAAAGAGAGACAAAGAAATCCCGGGACAACAGAGTCTTTGTTCGAACCAGCGAAACAAAAGCTAGAGGAAAATTCAAGTCATGGCACACCAAATGAAGGGTCATTCCCCGGCTCAGCATTCACCGGAGATACTCCATCAGACGAAGAACGCGCCCTTCTGCCCGATGAAAATGGCGATCGGAGGCTTTGCCGTAGTTGTCACCATCGGTTACTTCACCTTGTACAGCAAGAAGAAGCCGGAGGCAACTGCATTAGACGTTGCCAAAGTTATCACCGGAACCGCCCATCAAGACAGCACTCACCCCCGCAAATAGATTACCACTTCTCACTTCCCTAACTATCAACTCCCAACAAAAAGATTTAGATTGGGGTTCTCTGTTTTTTTTTTTGTTTTGTGTTTTTTTTTGTAAGGCTATATATGTGACTAGCTAAGAACAAATAAGGTGTTGCAGGTTACAAGCCTTCAAGGTCATGTTCTTCTTGTAACTGTGTATTCACGTGCATGAGAAAATACTAGCAGCTGTTTTGTTTAATTGCTCTTGTCGTGTAATATTGATTTCGAACTTGATCTAACACGAAATGTTTAAAATCAACCGTCTCATAGCATATATCGAGATTTATGATTGTTGGATTCAACGATCATAAATTTTAATCAGTAATTTGCTAAAAGCACACTCTAAGCAACATAGATGGGGCATACTGAGAAAAATTGGTACCATTCTTCTGTTTGGATGACTCAACTACATGACCGTATAGCCGAGACACATCAGATATGACCTGTCTTAGGCATGGGGTAAAAAATACAAGAGTTAGGATTGGATTAGATATTTTTATATTTAGAACCAAACAACCACGTAGTCCGGTCATCCGCATCCAACCCAATCCTAATCGAAGTTTTCGTAGTCAGCCCTCAGCGGCCCTACCAAAAATTCTCATGGAACATAGTTATTACCAAATGAGGTAAAAAGATGAAAAAGAACGCGTGTGGTGTCATTGGCGGTCTCACACCCTCTCTCAAACACAAAACATCCGCACTCCGATACATCCAACGAATCAAGTAACAGGATAAGCGATATGCCTTGAATTTCTCAGTCCGCGTGACTCATGTGCTCCCCAGAGTACAAACCCTAATCCCCAGAAATTCACTGAAGAAAGGAAAGGATCAAACTCTCCAAAAATCCGTTCTTTGAATCTCCATGGAAGTTGCTTTTCAACCTTCCCCTGCAATTATTTGTAATTACCATCTTTATCTATCTGGGTTTTTTTGTTTTTTGAATAAAGTTAAAAACTTGAGCTAACATCTATGGTTTCTTCAACGTATCAGGTCACAGGCAATCGAGGTTTCTGTCAAAGTCATCTTTGTTGCCGGTAATTCTTTCATTTCAGAATTTATCCCCTTTCTTCCTAGCTATTTTCTTTGATTCCCGTCGTTTTTTTTCCGGGAAAATATAAATTTGTAATCTTTAATTATGTTGGGAAATTATTAGCATGATGATTCGACAATTTCGTGAGATAAAAATTTTAATCTATAATTATGTTCGGAATTAGTAGTTTGATTCGATAGGCGCCTTTTAATCAGAATTTCGTATGAAGAAAATGGTGCTCACGAGTGCAGTTAAGGAACTAGCTGAAAATTTTGAGATAGTATAATGACAATAATTTTTGCAATTAAGCATGCCTTGTCGCTACTAATCGTTGGATTCGACATTTAGGTGGTTGTACGCAAATAGGGTGAATGTGCTTCAAGCTTGGCCGTGTATATAATATGCATTTGAATTATCTGCATTTAACACGCCAGTTCAGCACGCTAGACTTTCCCTCGTCACAACTGTTGTAAACCCTTTGGTGTGTTTATGTAGAATTAGCCTTTTGTTTTGTTTACTAATCCCGTAGCGTAGTATTGCAAGTTATCGACTTCATTAAGCACAAAAGTGTGGAGCAGCACAAACCCATCTGACCCATCCCGTTTATTTATGTTGTAACTGCTATGACATTTTTATTTGTAATGCAGCTGTTCGCTTATAAGGGACTTTCTATTGGGTGCTCTCCTCGCAGATGGCCCATTTCGAGAAATTTAAGCCATTGTAAGTATAGGCTATCTCAGTATAATATGTCATGAGTGATGCTGGCTTATAAGCAATGTACCTTTATGCGTGAATGGACTATAATATCTCATGCCTCTTTGTTTTCCTTCCTCAGCGGCTCATCATAGTGTTTTATGCATTCAAAGGAAACATGGTAGCAAATCGTGGTGTGACTTTGATGCAAAAGAGGAGTTTGGAAGACCGCATTGTAATATTAGATTGCATGACCAAAATAGGTTGTCCAGGTATACAGTTGTACGATCTGCTGAAGCTGGAACCTGTGATGCTGGCTATCCATTACCAGGTTTCTCTAACCAGTGATTTTCTGTTGTTTCCTCCTTTCTTTAGCAGCCTTATAAATCTGACTGACATCCATTCTTATTTTTAAGTGCAGAAGTAAGTATGGTCTCAAGAGTTAGGGGAATTGGCTTTTGTGCCATTACTGCTTTCAATGCCATTTATCTCTTTGTGCTGATGCTGATAGTCCATCCTCTTGTGCTGTTATTGGATCGATACAAAAGAAAAGCTCATATTTTTATTGCCAAAATTTGGGCCACTGCTACGATTACACCATTTGTTAGGATCAAGTACGAGGGACTGGAGAATTTGCCTCCGCCTGATGCTCCTGCTGTGTATGTTTCCAACCACCAGAGCTTTTTAGACATCTATGTTCTTTTCACAATTGGGAGACCCTTTAAGTTTATCAGCAAGACCAGCATATTTCTCTATCCCATTATTGGGTGGGCCATGTTTCTGATGGGTGTAATTCCTTTAAAGCGCATGGACAGAAAAAGCCAAATGGTATTCCATTTCCTTTGTTCCATCTATATAGATGTTGATCATTATCTAAACAATGATTTTAAAGTTATGATTGCTTCTGTATATAGGAATGCCTTAAGAGTTGCATAGATCTTATCAAGAAGGGGGCCTCTGTCTTTTTCTTCCCTGAGGGAACACGCAGCAAAGATGGAAAATTAGGTGCTTTCAAGGTGAGATCTTTTAGGATTCTTTGTTCTTTTGGATGGTTATGTAAAATTGTAAGTAACCAGACTGGAACTTGCAGTTGTTGGTTACAGAGGCATATAATGCACAATTGATTTAGTTAGTTTGATCTCACCCGTAGTTTTTGTTGCACCATTTGTATAATTTATTTCCTAAGAGGCTCTTTCCCCGCCTTGTCCTCTGAAGATATATTGGGAGTTACAGTTTCCTCTTGTTGTTGACATGCAGAGAGGGGCCTTCAGTCTTGCAGCGAAAACCAAGGTACCAGCAGTGCCAATTACCCTTATAGGAACCGGAAAGATCATGCCTCCGGGAAGGGAGACTATCTTGAATACTGGATCTGTTAAAGTTGTTATTCATAAACCTATAGAAGGAAATGATACAGAAGTACTGTGTAGGGAAAGTAGAAACATAATCGCTAGAGCACTTGATCGTCAAGGCTGAGCTATCTACTGCCATTTGTTCTGTTTGGTTTCTATGGTTCGATACTTGGTTCTTTTCTGTGGGAGTGAAGAATTAATGTCTGAAAGGTATGAATCATTTGTGGAATTGCCTCTTTGCTTGTTAATTGCTTCGATATTTAGTTATTTACTCATGAAAAAACTTATAAGATTCAATATAGACTATCTCTAAAGTTTGATCGTCGCCTGTATAGACTTAGCCGTGGTACAGAAAAAATCTGAAATTTACATGTGGATGGTTTCATCTCGTTTTAAAATCAATTTAGTCTTACGCCTGATGCTGTCCGGGTTTGCTTGCTTCTAGATATTAAGTACCTGCTTGGTCTCTTGTACATGTTCGAACTAACATTCTACTATGCTGCGATGCATGGTTATCCCGCAACATAGTAGGAAATTCCTTGAACTAACGTGTTTTTGGTACTCGTGTTTGCTGTCCCATTGACAGGTTGTGGATAGCTGATGATACAGGGCAATAAAATCAAAGCTGAATCTGAAGTTGTCGTGCTTTTAACGTCTCATTGCCTGAGGCTGTCCGTCCCATTCCCGTACTTTCAAACTTGCAAGCGCTGCCTACAGTAAACGTCTTCATCCCAGTAGACACACAGAAGCGAACGCTTGGCCGGACCCCGGGTTCCGGGAGTTTTTGACCAGCGTCGCCTTCAACTGTTTAGATAATAAAATGGAGA